TCTTTAATACTACTACCTGATAAACTACAATTTCGCAAGTGAAGAGATACTATCTTAGGTGCAATATTCAACAGATTTCCTAAAGTTGCTCCTGCAATACTCTGAAGCTGACTGCATCCAATATCAACTTCATCACATTCTAGCATGATGTTCTCATTTACACATTGAGCAATTAAAGCGTCCAATTGTTTTACAGTGGATATACATTCAAATAAATCAAACTCAGCTTTTAATTTAAGTAATGCATAAATAGTTGCATCATCAATGTCATGGAGAATATTGCCATAAATGTTAAGCCTTCTTCCCCAACTCGCATCCAATGTATCACATTTGTCCAGCATATCCCTAATGATGGTTCCCTTAAGCTGGCATTCTTGCATACCAAGCCATTTTATGTTGGGAAATTTCCTTCTCATTCGAAAAAGTAATAATTCATCAATATCACTCAGATTGTTATACGAAATATCAAGATTCTGTAATTTATTATGTATTGGACAATTCAGGATCATGTTATTTACAATTGTACCCACAAGATTACATCCCCGCATACTAACTTTTACAAGGTCTGGGGCAATATACAATAAATCAGATAATGTATGTCCTTCAATATCATTTAGACTATTATTGTCGATTTTGAAATGTGTCAAGACCAGAATTTTTTCATTTTTTTTTAAGTCACTAACCATGTCCTTTATAACAACAGATGATAATTGACAATTTCTCACATCCAGTACATCTAGTACTGGAGCATTAACTAGTAGAGTACTTAACGTAATTCCTTCTATGTCACGAAATATGTTGTCTTTCAGTTCCAATATCTCTAATGCTGCACTTGCTGACATATTGAGACTGCTGACCATTTTTTCTAATTCTGCACCTGATAAACTACAGTTTTCCATTGTCAGAGAAAACAGATTTGGCATATTATTCAAGAATCCTTTAATACCAGTAAGCTTATTCATTGAAATATCAAGATTGCTAAGGTTACTGTGACACTTACTGAATACACTGTTAATAAATGTATCTGATAACGAGCAATTAACAAGGTTCAAGCTTAATACGTCTGGTACAAAATTTAGTAAATGAACTATTAGGAACCTACTGACATTATTACTGCTAAAGTCCAAATCTAACCCATCATCATAAACTAATTTCAGATTTCCAAACTCAGTAGTAATATCCTCAAAAAAAGTATAACTACCAGATAAAAAAGCTTTTGTTGTAGTGATACATCTTTGATCTTTGGCAGCAAACAACATGTGACTTAACATTTTATGCGCTGGATTTTGTACTGATGATTTAGCTTCAATCCATGCATCTAAAGACCTTTTAAATGCACTTGAACACGACCTGATTTCCAGCATGCGTACTTCTCTTAATTGTTGTATCAAATGGTCATTAATACAAATTTCAATATCAGGATGCACAAACATTCTGAGGGAATCACAAATACTTGGAAAGTGTTTTTTAATTGCAAGGTTCACTCCAGATATGAAAGCATCCAGTCTTTGTGCTACAATCTGTTGCTGTGTTATTTCTAACCTCATCAAATATTCCATAAGGGAACGATAATCCATTCCATTATTTGTAATCCAATGTTGCAAGAGTTTATCAGCATCAGCACCAAGAAAGTTAACAGCGAAGACACGTGTCATATGTAAATACTCATTAGACCTTATCGTATCCAATTCTTCAGTGGAGAAACTTTTCTCTTTTTGACATTGCCTACAAAGGAAGAACCCTGCCAATGATTCAGCTATCAATTTATGAGGAGCTGTATAGAACTTTGAATGGTTTTGTGCACCTTGTGTTACCTCTTCATAAAGTATTCCAATTGCCAGTGCCAAGTTGTTTTCATCTCCATTTGAATTGTATTTAGTTAAGTCGTCAAACTCTATAGAAAACTTGTTTTTTTTTAAGCTTTCATACATACATTTTCCAAGAATTGAAAAACACCTTTTATACATCTCCTGAATATTGGCAAAATTAGAAACCTTAATTTCTAAACATTTTTTCCTTTTGTATTGATTCAAAATGCAACAAAACAATTCCTCAAACAGGCTAGCCAAATTTGGTGGAAGGTATTGATTTTCCTTCCACATTGTGCATATTGAGAGCAGCAGCATTGGTGAACGACACAAGTCATATAATTTACTTTTTTCATCAATTTGATCTTCATTTTTATATTTATGCAACTCTGTTATCAGTGATTTGCCTAACTTAGGCTCATTCTTAAAGAATTTGTAAATAAATTTCTCTATGTTCTTTGAGTTAAATCCTAAAACCTTAACATAAACATCACTTTCTCTTGCAATTTCCTTAGTATTTCCAGGGCGAGATGATAAAATCACATTGCTTTTCCGTAATATCTTTTTTATGAATATATCAATTGGGTGTCTGGCTTTAGGATTCAATTCATCCAGTCCATCTAACAACAAAACAACTTCACTACCATGTGTTCTTATAAAACTACCAAACTCATCAATTGTTACATCCATATTTTGCGTCTGGTTGAAGTCGTCCACATATATTCCATTCAAAATAATATCCATAACATTTTCATCTGATTTTAAATCCCTAATATCTATTAGAAACACAATTTTTCCATAAAAAGTGTTTTCTATCTCATTTGCCCATCGGTAGGATATATACCTAAGAAGAGTGGTTTTCCCCATCCCTCCCTCCCCTTCAATCAATACTTTACATGAATCTTTGGATTTGATAACATCCAGGATCTCTTCCAATGATGCTGGTACTGCATCCAATCTTCTACCTCTACCATCCCTCTTAACTAGTTCCAGCTCAGTAAATAAACCATGAATATCTAGTTCATCGTCATTGTACGTTGGAGGACAGTAGTATCTAGTTTGTTTGAGACACTCTTTCTGCTGTTCTAACAAATAGTTTTTGATGGCCGAGTCTATAAAAGACAAAACATAATACGATGTAAATCAAATAATGATTTTACATAGAGTATTGTCGCGTACAAATAATGTTATGTTAGATGACAATTATTCAAACGTATGTATGTTAGATGACAATTATTCAAACGTATGTATGTTAGATGACAATTATTCAAACGGTCATAACTTTTCTTCCAGACACCCGATTTTGGCTTGAGGAAGTTTGTGAGCTTGGGTCACATTTTACTTTTCTTTGATTTTAATTTTGATTGAAATCTTAGTATGTATTTCACTGGTATGTTTTTTTTTTTAAATTTAAGTTTCTTCATTTCATTTTTATCTGCTTGCAAAAATTACAAAGTTTCTCCGTTATTATTATTATTATTATTATTATGGCAAATGTTTTACGCAAAAAAATAAAGAACTCTGAGGACAAATAATGCAGTTATTTCATGTACAGTACCAACAAAAAATCAGTAATCATTTTATAATCTAACAATGCTGCTGATATCTTAAATTTTAGAGACGATCTATGAAACTACAATGAGCAAAATTGTAGTCTGTGAATACAATCCTCTACTCTTTTAAAACAAATATACCATGGACCTATTAATACTGTGTTTTTGACATGCATGAGCCATATTGCACACAATACCTGCAGCTTAATTCTTCTCTGAAAGACGGTGCACGTTTTTATACTTCAATCGAATTCCGCTCTCCAGTCTAACACAACAGAGCACATGGAACGTTTAACAATCACAAATTTCCTTGAACACTATTCAGGAATTTTTTCCCCAGAAAATATTGGCTTCTTCAGTTGCAAATTTGCAACAGTGCCCTCTATCTAAACACTAACTGTTCATTTTCAGCACCCAGGACTCACCTTTGTCTAACTTTAGTTTTTTCTGTGGTGAAGCTTCTCCATTACCTGTAGAGAAAATGGAAATTGAAAATTTTAACATTATGAGTACAACAACACAGGCTCAGAAGATTTTATTATTTACAGGATTTATAAATTATCTGAATGGATTTTACTTATATTTTATGAATCATAGATAATAATTTGAAGTCATTAAATTGTATATTTTGATAATTTATATAATATTAAATTTTTAAGACCACCTCCCAGAAGTTGGAAGGGAATAAATAAAAAAAAAAAAAATGTTTAGCGATCAGGTTAGTTGAGTTTTATTTTAAAGTACAATAGCACAGATTGCAAGTCTGGTGATTGTTTAACAAGTTGATGTTTAATAAGGCAAAATGATACTGACAGTGATGGACCACAATGGAAATAAATTTTTGGTATTTTATTGTTCTTTTATCCATGAATATTATTTTTGTATTCAGAATAAAGAAAAAAAAATTTAGTCTTTGTAAGATAAACTATTAAAACAGTGATACAATATCTGAAACAATCATTCCTACTGTAACTTCAAGCAAAGAGTATAGAATATTAGCAAGAGATCCAGCCGCAGGGGTTTCTTTGAAACGGAATCCTATCTCGACAAGTACTACCACAATATACAAGGGTGCTCTTTGAAATACCTAAAGTCGTTCATATGGGTGCATGCTCAAATATTGAAATTCTGCTCGAAATCTAATAGGTAGCCCCTGAGCTTGTGGCAGTATTTCTTTTCCATTTCATTGTGTGCATGCAAAATCAGAGCAGTCAGACCTCCCTGCTATGATAAAATCTTCACTTCAAATTCTTTGTATATCACTATTGGGTGACTGAGCTATTCCGTCATATCCTGAATGACGAATGTCATCTGCTTCATGATACAGTATGCTTCTTGGCTCTGTAATTAACCCTGGAGTGGTCGTATGAGAGTACCGATTGCAAACACAAATAGATACCATTTATCGCTAAGGATATAAAATACTTCAATGAAAATCATACAAGAGATAGATAATAATCATTGTAATAATAATAAATAATAATAGTAAAAATAAATAAAAATAATAATAATAATAATAATAAGGGTGATAATGATAATTGTAATAATAAACTAATAATAGTGATTATAATTATCATTATTAAAAATAATAAAATACTTTAATAATAATAATAATTAATAATAGTAATAATAATATGATTTTGCTCTTGAGTAGTTTCTCCTGTTTAAAATGTGTATCAACCCTTTTTTGTTCTTTTATTGTAGGTATTCTATAATTTTAAATTTTTCTGTGCTTTTTGATGGAATTTTGATGCTGATTCCTTTTTTCCTTGACCAATTTTAATGTGATTTTTTTGGAATTGTACATTTTTGCAAGTTTTGTAATTGCTTCGTCTATTTTAATCGGAGACAATAAATTTTATTTTATCGTATCTTGTTTTGATATTAATAGTGAGTTTTAGACCTGAAATTTAGACCTGAAGTAATTTCTGGGACAGTTTGATGTCATCTATTCATAATTACCATATATTGCATGAGTCATAGATAGTAATTAAAAATTAAAACTTCTTCTTTATTAAAAATAATTTCTCCCTCCACCTAAAGACTACTTTTGGGACCGGGGTTTTCCTGGGCTTTAGCAGATTTGGAGTGTACAGTTAAACTTGCATATTGTCAACTGTGCCTTTAGAATCAAATAATTTCTAAGTTGATCTTATTTTACATGCCAGATTGTTGTGTTTTCCATTAATTAACAAACTGTAAGTTGAATTTTATCTAAGTTGAACAATATTTAAGTGGCATTTTGGATTTGATTTAGGCAAGTTCAACTGTATTTGGGGCTGCAGATATGTGGTCTTTAAAATTAGTCTTTAATTGGAGGGATACCTGCTTTGTTTACTATACTCACCAGAACTTTTCAAATTCATTAGAAATGATGACAACTTGTCTTCTGAAAGGAAATCCTCACTTTCAAGAAATGCAATTACTTTCCACGGATTGGTAGAGATGGTGACTGGAATTTCGTACTTCTGTTGAACCTTCTGAAGATCATTAATTGAAAAGTTTTTTCCCATAACAACAACATTTTGACGATATGCTGAAAATTGAGTTATCTCGACTTTATCTGGATAATTCTGATAATTCTCAATTATCTTCTTAAAACACCTCAATCCAGTTAGTTCAATTGTTTCAAACAAAATTGAAATGTTTGTTGGTTTCAAAACGTCTGCTACTCTTAGTATTTGGAATAAATCAAAAGCGGATTTAGCTTCCTCTAAATTTGTTTTAATTTCTGATTTATCAGTGTACAGAACCCTTAACATGTCTACGTACTTTTCATCTTCCTTGCTGATTTTATCAGATATTTCCACCAGGAGTTGATTGAAATCTGTTTAAAAATGAAAAATGTTTCTAAAAATAATAATAATAATCAATATTTATATAGTGCCTAATGTTAATAACCTCTAGGTGTTTAACAACAACATAATAAACAAAAAACAATAAAAATAAAACAAAAATCACAAAGAGCAGCGATGCAGTAGATAGTGACATTCAAGCAGTCTCACCCACTGATGTCAAAGTAACGTCGCTGTCTCAATGAGGCTATTTACACGCAGGTAATCCAAAAAAGGCAGCATGCTGGGCTCCGGCACTTCCCACCACAGGATAAGCCTGTGGCTCCACTACCGTGCACTGCCGAGACAACGACGTTAACTTGAGTAAGGAAAAGGTGTGACCACACCTGAAAACATATTTGGTAATACGTCAGCATTCCAATGCTCGTAATTTCAATTGGTTATTGTAGTAATTGGAATTAGAGTTTAAATACTTTACATTTGTTGTTATCTCAGCAACTTCTTCAAGGAAACTTATGAAGATTAGGGATTACAATCCCCAAATCTATTGGTAAAATAAATTTTTAAGAAAAAGCAACACCACTCATATCGGAAACATTTCCCGAAAGCATCATACAGGTACTACAAACTACCGTACTTGCGCGAATAAGTGCCCCGTTTGAATAAGCACCCCTCTCGAATAACCGCCCCTTCTAATTTGGATAAGCGCCCCCCCCCCCCAATAATAACATAAGATTTTCTTTTAATAGCAAGTCACTAATCCAATCAATCCTGGGACTGGTTGTTGGCATGATTTGAGCTGCAGAGTGGAAACACATTTTTAGGTCAATATCAAAATGAGAATATTTCTCTTGGACAGAATGAGAGCTCTAATTCCTGGACAAACAGTATATTTCCAACTTTACTCTTTTTACACATGTCTATACCTAGTCATACTTCTCTTTTTCCGACCTTTAGCAAATTCTCATCTGAGTTTCAAGAAAAAAATTCAATGATCCTGCCATCCTGCTAATCTCAATCGGGCCGATGGCTAGCAAGCTAACAACTACCCACTACGTACCACTAATTGCATTCTTGTCATGAGCCATGTTCACTGGAGGGTTATATTTTCTGCCTAACCACCATTCGTAATGTCCTTAAATAATCTTTTTTCATTCAAAAAATGCCTCTTGAATTTAATAATTTCCAATAATAATAAATAAATAATAATAATATTAATAATAATAAGGTAAGAACTTATATAGCGCCATTTAAAAAACCGAAGAAATTATCAGTGGCCAATTTAGAATATACTGTAGTCCAGTAAAACCACAGATAGTTCCCACCCCTGATATCGTTGAAAACTAAAAGAAAAATACTGTTAGCCTAGGCCTACATGATTTTTTCAACTTTTGTGATAGGCCTACATATTCAGCCAACTTTCAAAGTACATGTACCTTATTTATTGGTGTGTTAAAAGTATTAATTTGCCTATCAAATAATGTTATCTCTCCCACCTCCCTAAACCTATCAGAGATTTTTTCTGGTACCCTCATCGATGCAGGGGTGGATTTAGGAGAAACCACTACCCCCTCCCTTTTTTTTAGGAAAGTAAAAAAAATAAATAGGTAATTGATTCTCCCAAAAATGCATCAGAGGTTTGTTTTTGGGAGAGAAATTGTCCAAATTGCCACCCCTGACCCCAGTTGTACATCTCTAGCTCCACTCCGACAGGACTCTAGTCGGCCACTTGGTTCGGACTCCACTTTCGAACATGTTGGACACCATGTCCTATCAGCAAGTTTTGGCTTTTAAAATTTTCGTCAAATTTTGGATAAAGACAGCTTCTGGCTAAAAAAAATTGTTGACTTTAGCCAATTGGCTAAAAAAAAAAATATGTTAGAGTGACCCTAGCTTAATATGATTTCCATGCTGCGGCTTGTAAGCTTTTCAAGCTTAACCATGGCTCCACTATGTATGAGTGTTTCAGGCAGTTGTATGAGGGAACGGGCCTCAGGTTTGTTCACATATGTTTATTATTTATGGTATAAGAACTAATCCATGTAAAAAAATGTTCTTACAAATATTTCCTACAGGCACAGAAAAGAAAAGCCTCAGTTTATGGTGTTTGAACTACTTTGTGTTTTATAATACAAAGAATATAGCAAAAAATACAAATACAAATACAAATACATATTCCATGCTTTCATCATATATCAAATAAAAATGAAGTACAAGACAGGTATTAAAACCACATCAGCTTCAAAGACATAATGAAAAAAATAACTGAACCGGATGCTGTAAATCAAATTTATATGTGGTAATTTTATAAATATTTAACTAACCTTTATTTTTCAGCTCTCTCAAACGTTCAAGAAATGATGGTATGTTATCTTCTGTTAAAACAGTTGAAGTTCCTTCAAGATATTGAATTAATTTCCATGGGTTATAATAAAAGTTGCCTTTGTATAGTTGACAAACAATTTGAAGATCTTTGAATGAAAATTCTTTTCCCAAAGCAACAACCTGTTGACGGTGTGCTGAAAATCGGGTGATCTCTACTTTATCTGGATATGTCTCATATTTCTCAATTATCTCTTTCAAATATTTCAATCCAGTTACTTCAATTGTTTCAAACAAAACTGAAATGTCTGTCGGCTTTAAAATACCTGGTGCTTTTAGAACTTTGAATAAATCAAATGCAGATTTAGCTTCATCCAAATCTGATTTAACATTTGCAAGATCTCTGTACAGAACCTTCAACATGTCTACATACTTCTCATCTTCCTTGCTAATTGCAAAAGAAATTTCCACAAGCAGTTGATCGAAATCTATGTAAAACAAAAGAAATTATGTCTATAACTAGAAATTGCAAATTGCAAGTGAAGTGCTGCGAAGTACAACTGCATATAAATGTTATACAAAATTATTTATGCGAGTCAAGTGAAAATAATGAATAATAAAAATATAACAAATTATATGAGACACGACCTATTGTCTATATTAGAACACTTCTCATTGGGTAACAAAGTCGTAATTTATCATTTTTGTCAAAAAGTGTCTATAGTGGTGAATTATAGTTTAGGTTTTTTTAAATAAAGTTTCAAAAATTTCTATGTATGTGGAAAATGTAGTTGATTACCAAAGGTTACAATTTTTATTTTGAAGACTGCATGGTCTAGGAAGTGTACATTTTTTTTATGGAGCAAGTTCCAAGGGTGGGTTTTCTAGGGGCGAGATGACTGCCAAAGAGTGTTGCTAAAGTGCGAGCCAGCGTGTTATTTGATCACAAGTGCAAGACATATCACAAGTGTGGGCCAGCGAGCCATGACGTCACGACAATAGATAGAGACGTTAGCGAGTTGTGCAAGGTATCGGCTGAGATTTGTGGAGTACAATTCAAAAAACAACTATAGGTCTAATAATGAATCATTGTGATGTTAAATAGATGTGACCTTAGGTGATTTTTAACTATTTGACAGTGATTTTTGGGGGAAAATGGGAGTGGGGTGGGAGCCAAAAGTAATTTTTGAAACACTGTTTGGAACTATTTTACCCAATCATCAACCCTGTTTCTCCAGCTTCCGATCTCCTTTTGATTTTTCATGCAGTTTAATTCTTTCATCTTGCTGCTTTGGTGTTAAATCAGGAAAGATATATATTTTTATTAATTTTAGGAATTTTACTTTAAGGGTTTTGGCCTTACTATTAAGGATTCAAAAAACAACTATAGGTCTAATAATGAATTATTGTGATTATTATTATATTAAATAGACAATGATAACTATCAAAGAGCGACGTTGTTTTTCATTGGGACCTTCGTCCCTTCAAGGCTAGGCCTATACCATCCTAGCTAGTCTAGGCCTAGAGTAGGATAAGGCTAGCGCGACATGCGGACGTTGGTACGAGTAGGTTAGTCTACAAACGTCGCCTAAAGTAATTGATTTTACCCGGCAGAACGAAAGAAGGAAACTCCGCTTTTTAGTCGTCTTAGGCCCTTGTTTTTAGACAAATGACCTTTCAGAGGTCAAATTGCTGTCATGAATATGAATTGGCTGCTTCGCAGCAAAAAATGTGGTTTTTTTTTTATGTTTAATTAAAATTACACTCTCAACACGATCATCTGGGCTCATTATTTTGAAAATGGTAAATGATGATAAAAGTAGAGCCATAGAATCTCCAACGAAATAAAAAATCGACCCAAATAAAATGTATTATTTAGAAAATATTGTATTAGTTATATAATTTGATGTGTATTAATGTCGAAATGCGTAAGTCCAGAAAATGAGTGGATACAACGTTTACAGACATCAATAATAATGGTTAATTTTGTGAAGATGACAACAAAACTGTTACATTACAACTGTTTAATTACTTTTACCTGATTCCTTCATCCTTCTTGAGTGATGTACTTCTCACACCTACAGTATACTATCCTAAATGCTCAAACTGATGATCTTCACACTAAAATTGATTCATATAAAAATTTGGTCATTAGAAAAAGTAATGTTTTGTTCATAGCAACACATCACTCATTTACAGGCCTAAAATTTATGGTTATACATGTACCATAATTTTAGGGTATAAAACTTGAAGCATGAAAAGGAGCCTTTGAAACCAGTGGCCTACTAGGAGTTTTGAAGTGGGGGTGCTGATGGCTGCGCAAAAGTGAAGTTGTGGGCT